AAGGAAAATCACACCCTGACTCAACAAATATGAGTCCTTAGAGTCAGGGCGTGACAGTACCCCCCCCCCCCAAAGGTGCAGACTCCGACCGCGCCACATAAACATAACAGGGTAGGGGCCGGGTGGGCATTCCGCCTCGGAGGCGGATCCGGTTCCGGGCGTGACCACCACTTACTCTCCACCTCCCTGTTGCGCCCCTGGTCTGGTCTGGACAAAGGCGCGCTGCTTCCCCTCTCCTTCCTCCCACGACGTACCAAGCCCTGTCTGGACCCTGGTGTGGGAGACCCCGAACCTGGAGAGGGGCTGACGTCTGGGTCTGGACTGGAACCGCTGACTGGAGCTGGACCCGACGACGGTGGAGCGAACTGCTCTGGCTCCGGAGTGGAGCCGCTGACCGGAGCTGGATCAGGCACCGGTGGAGCGGACTGCTCTGGCTCCGGAGTGGAGCCGCTGGCCGGAGCTGGACTTGACCCCGGTGGAGCGGATTGCTCTGGCTCCAGAGTGGAGCAGCTGACCGGAGTTGGACTGGACCCCGGTGGAGCGGATTGCTCTGGCTCCGGGGTGGAACAGGCACGGGCCGTGCCGGACTGGAAACACGCACCACTGGCTTGGTGCGAGGGACAGGAACAGGCCGGATCGGGCTGGCGACGCGCACCACTGGCTTGGTGCGAGGAGCAGGAACGGGCCGGACCGGGCTGGCGACGCGCACCACTGGCTTGGTGCGAGGGACAGGAGAAGGCCGGGCCGGGCTGGCGACGCGCACCACTAGTTTGGTGCGAGGGACAGGAACAGGCCGGACCGGGCTGGCGACGCGCACCACTGGCTTGGTGCGAGGGTCAGGAACAGGCCGGACCGGGCTGGTGACGCGCACCACTGGCTTGGTGCGAGGGACAGGAACAGGCCGGACCGGGCTGGCGACACGCACCACTGGCTTGATGCGAGGAGCAGGAACGGGCCGGACCGGACTGGCGACGCGCACCACTGGCTTGATGCGAGGAGCAGGAACGGGCCGGACCGTACTGGGAACACACACCACTGGCTTTGTGCGGGGAGCAGGAATGTGTCGGGCCGTACTGGGAACACGCACCACCGGCTTAGTGCGGGGATCAGGAACGGGCCGGACCGGACTGGCGACACGCACCACTTGCTTGGTGCGAGGTGCGGGACTGGGTTCCTTTATAAACCCCCGCTCCTTCTCTACACTCTCCTTCTCCCTTATAGACTCCTGTAGCTCCTCCCTCTGACCAAATAACTCCTGCTCCCTCTGAACCAATAGCCCCCGTAACCTGGTGGCCTCCTCTCCTAACCTGCAGAATCGCCCTGTCGCTGCCTCCTGCTGCCTCGTCGTCCACACCGTGTGCCCCCCAAAAATGTTTTCTTGCCGTTGCCTCTCGGGTCTCCGTCGTCGGCACTGTTGGCGCCGTTTCTCCTCTCCTACCTGGGCATCCTCCTTCATCGCCTTCCGGTAGCGGACGGCCTCCTCCTCCATGATTCTCCCCCAACCGAGGAGGACATCTACTAAAGTAACCTCCTGTTTAATTCCCGGCGTTTGCTCCTGAACACGCTGCTTGGTCCTATTTTGGTGGGATCTTCTGTCACGATCGTTTATAGACGGGACGGACCAAGGCGCAGCGTGATAAGCATACATGTTTATTTAAACGAACGAACACGCGACAAAACAACAAACGAAACGTGAAGTCCAAGGTAACACACAAACATACCTTACACGGAACAAGATCCCACAACTGACTGGTGCCAAAAGGCTGCCTAAGTATGGTCCCCAATCAGAGACAACGAGCGACAGCTGCCTCTGATTGGGAACCACACAGGCCAACATAGATCTAGACATACAAGATCTAAACATAGAAAATCCAACATAGAACATCACCACCATATATTCACAACAAGGAAAATCACACCCTGACTCAACAAATACGAGTCCTTAGAGTCAGGGCGTGACACACATGAACTATGATAGACTCAATTTCCTGAAGCTGGTTTTAAATGTTTGGGAGCAGCTTATTGATGTCCTGTACTCGTGCTCCTGGATAGCACAAAGTTTTTGCTCCAGGGACTGAGACATTTCTCACCATTGAACTGCCCAATACAATGGCCGGAGAAGGGAATGGAGAAATCCGCCCATTCCTACCCCTCACACAAATTGTTGAACCTTTCACGCATCCACGAGAAGCAGGATAGCGTACGTCTGCTGCTCCTGGCGACAGGTCCAGACCTCCCACAGCAGGCAGTGCCCCATCAGATCCAGAGAGAGGGGAAGGAGCCAAACTGGACGATGAAGCCACTGCTGTTTTCAGCATAGTTGGAGTCAGCACTGCCGTCGCAGACACAGGCAATCCCAGCGATCAAGGCGCAGGTAGATCAGGCACCAGTGCAGTGAAGCTATTCCTTATGTCAATCTGCTCCGGACCTCTCGCAGTCACTCCCGTCCACTTAGCAGCATGCCGCTGCCTTCGGTTTCCACGACTTGTGACATGGGACCAGCGCTGATTGGAACAGTCTTCTTGCTGTTCTCCGTCTACTTCATTACAAGGCGGAGGAGGAAAAGCAGATGGCGACGACTTCCTTGGCAGGCAAGTTCCAGGTAGCACAGGCCATTCGGATAGGGACATATGACAAGGCGGGGAAAGATCCATCAGGCCTGAGTAGTGTCGAGACATAGGAGTGGAGAACGAGAAAGTTTGAATTTGCGTTTTCCCCATTAGTTCGCGCAGAATTGAGATTTGCTTCCTAAGCATAGCCACCTCATTCCTGTAATCCTCCGCTAGCAAACAATTGCCGCATTGAAACTCTGGATTGTCAATATTGTCCCTGACAAGAGCGTAATAAACATTTACGTTACAAATAACCAATTGTTGTCTTTCGTAGGTGGATGTTTTTCTTTGTATTGTTGGAATTTAATTTAAAAAGAAAGAATGTAACAGGGTTTTAAAATGCAATATTGGTGCACAATTTCTACTTAAAACATCAGTGGGACACAAAAGGCACTCATTTTGCAAAACGACCCAGATGTAATTTACTGAGAGGTGTGTGTAGAGTGAATAGTGTGTGAGAGAGAGAGCAGAGGACAGACAGTATTTACATTTAGTCATTTATCAGACACTCTTATCCAGAGTGACTTACAGGAGCAATTAGGGTTAAGTGCCTTGCTCAAGGGCACATAGACTGATTTTTCACCTAGTCGGCTCTGAACCAGCGACCTTTCAGTTACTGACCCAACACTCCAAACCATTAGGCTATCTGCTGCTGGATCATTACGGAGAGGGCTGTGATGGTGACACATGATGCATGGCCCGGGCAGCATTGATCTGGCCTCTGCAGCTGCGAGCTGTCTGGGTGAGCCTCTACAGGGGGAGTGTGTGTTTGTGTTTGTGTGTGTGATGTATGGGCGTGTGGTGCGGCGGGTGGGATCGGGCACAGCCATCACTCAGGTGAGGAGGCCTAGTGGAGGGGCCGTGGCAGACAGCCGCTGACGGATGACCTGTCCCAGCACACACACACACCCACACACACTGCTCCACAGCTCCACAGTGACACTCATCAGAGAACAGCACTAATGTCTGACCTCCTTCACTCAGCACATGCCCTTCATCTGGAGAGAGAGAGAGAGAGAGAGAGAGAGAGAGAGAGGAGAGAGAGAGAGAGAGAGAGAGAGAGAGAGAGAGAGTGAGAGAGAGAGACGGAGAGGGTAGGAGAGAGAGAGAGACGGAGAGGGTAAGAGAGAGAGAAAGAGAGAGACTGAGGGAGGGAGGGAGGGACAGAGAGAGAGAGAAAGAGGGGGGGTGGAGAGAGATGAAGAGAGGGAGGGAGGGAGAGGGAGAGAGAGTTAGGAAGCAGTGCGACCAATGTGTATTTCTGCGTTGTTGGCATGCCTAAAAGTCTGCCAATATTATTTTCTTCTCATTCCCTGGTTTGTCATGAGCCGTTAGCGTCACCACAGATTCTAAACTTGCTGGACTCACAAACACACACATGTACACACATATAGAATCGTACAAACATGCATACACACACACGATGCATAGAAGGACACAAACAGAAATACACACTCAGAAAAAAGTCACACACACACACCTGCGCACACAGCGATTGAACCCACATGCATTACGTATTGCTGTAGCCACAGTACACGGCTTCCTTCACTCTCCATTAGGCTCCACCTGAATGAAATGCTCAGAGACATTAAGGTAATGTTACAGGCCAGTAAAATATTTAAAAGTCCCCTGGGGGTGGAGGACAGGGGAGACTGGGGGTGGCTGTGCAGGGGACTGCAGGGAGGGTGATGGGGAAGGGGGGGTTCAACTTCTCTTAGTCTATGCTCTGTCCTTTGTTTCTACCTCGGTCTTCTACTATATGCTGAAGCTTACAGCAGGCCTAAACAACACCACACAGCAGGCCTACACAACACAACACAACACAACACAACACAACACAACACAACACAGTAGACCTACAAAACACAACACCACACAGCAGGCCTACACAACACAACACAACACAGTAGACCTACACAACAGAACACCACACAGTAGACCTGCACAACACAACACCACACAGTAGACCTGCACAACACAACACCACACAGCAGGCCTACACAACACAACACCACACAGCGGGCCAACACAACACCACACAGTAGGCCAACACAACACAACACCACACCACACAGCAGGCCTACACAACACTAGCCCCCTCATAAAGACATCAACCCTCAGAGCAAGAAGGATACAGTGTGTTTTACGTTGAGTCCGAACGCATTAAGAATCTATTGAGGTTTGGTGGACTGGAGGAGGTGGAGTAGGAGGAGGAGGAGGATGGATATTTGGTGCTATTGATTTCTCACAAGCTTGTATTGCATCTCAGTGTTGACTAATGCCCCCAAACCCTGCTACACTGTGAATTATTAAACACACTGTTTTGGTTTGTGTCAGCTGCAAAGTAATTCTAGATTTGTGACGCTGATATCTGATGATGTGGTATGGGATAGTGATGGGTCATGCGCACAAGCATCGGCTCTGAGAGCCGGCTCTTTGTAGTGAATCAGAAGAGCCGGCTCGCATCGAGTGAGAGCCGGCTCCCAGTTTTTTGCCCATTCGCTGCTTAGGTTTCACTTTCACAGAGGTCTGTTATGATTGGCCAGCATGGCGACCAGCATGCGGCATTCACGTGAGAATTAAGGATGTGTAAACAGAGAGGGGGCGGGGCAGACACACCACTTGACTCCACTGCAAGTGAAGAGAGAGACAGAGCGGACTGAGGAGCGTGTGTGCGTCTTGCATTGTCGTGTCGTTTAACTATGAGTGACACTAGAAAGCGAAGCAGCATCTGGCTGCAGTTTAAAGATATTGGGAACAAGAAAGCAGAGTGCCTTCACTGCAAAACGAAGGTCACTATAAGAGCAGGTTCCACCACAAACCTGCATAGACATACAAGAACTGTCCATCCTACAGTGCAGTTAGAGGAGAGAGGGCAAGCCAGCTCACCATCTACTGATCCTGGTGTGTCTCATACCAGAACAACAGCTGCTGTAACGTCTACTGCCATCCCCATGCGTGCAAGTATAACCTCTCCTACTGCAACTCAAAGCAAAATAAGTCAGTTTTTACCTAAACTGATGACCCCAGCCAAACAGCACAGTATTGATGATGAGTTGGCTAAAATGGTAGCTTCTGATTTTCAACCCTTTTCCATTGTGGAGGACAAAGGAATGAAAAACTTTGTCAAAGCCCTAAATCCCACATACACTCTACCCAGTAGAAAAACACTTTCCCAAACAATGATCCCAAAACTATATGACACAGAACGTGCATTATGGCAAGAAAGGGTGACAAAAGCTCCATCAGTTTGCCTGACAACTGACTGCTGGACCTCCAGAACAACCTGCTCTTTCATGTCTGTCACTTGCCACTTTATTGAAGATTACAAGATGACATCTTGCCTTCTGGACTGCTTCGAGTTCACCGACAGACACACTGCAGAAAACTTGGCAGTGGAGCTACTAAGAGTGGCAAAAGAGTGGCAAGTAGAGGACAAAGTGGTGTGCTGTGTGAGTGATAATGCTGCAAACATCACCAAAGCCATAAAAGTTTTGAAGTGGACCCATCACCCATGTCTGGCGCATACACTAAACCTGGTGGTTAGAGATGCTCTGAAGGTGATCAAAACAACCGTGGATAAGGTGAAGGCTGTTGTGGAGTTTTTCCACAAAAGCACAGTAGCAGCACAGAAGCTAAAGTCCACACAGCGCCAAATGGGGATTCCTGAACTGAGGCCCAAACAAGAGTGTGCCACCAGGTGGAACTCAACATTTGATATGTTGAAACGAATGCTTGAAATAAAAGATGCCATCATCTCCACCCTGGCCCTCATCAACGCATCTATTGAGCCATTAAGCCAAGAGGAATGGGAGCTGGTGAAAGAGGTCTGCGCCGTCCTGCAACCATTCCAGGAGGTGACTGTGGAGATAAGTGCAGACAGGTACCTAGAACCATTGAAGCATTGTTTTCTCTACTACTATTCAGTCACTATTATACATTGCAAACACAACACATACAGTATAATGCATCACGTATAATATGCCACATACTTTTAAAAAACTAAATTCTAAAAGTTGCTGTTTTCTCTCCTTCAGCTATGTCACAGCCTCGAAAATGCTCCTGCTTTGCAAAGGTCTGCAGCTGGTGACAGCCGAGAACCAATGGACAGTAACTGTGCAGAAAGTGAAGGAATTAGTTGCAGCTCTTTGTTCAGCCATGGACCGCAAATTTCTGCGGATGGAGTACAACACTGTCCTTTCAGAAACTACCTTATTGGATCCAAGGTTTAAAAAACTTGCCTTCAGTGATCGTAGAGCTGTTGATGAAGCTCTTCAGAGGATTAGTGCAGCAGCAGCAGCAAAATGCACCCCCAGCAGCCAGCCAGCTCCACCATTACAGGGCCAAGTGGAGGAGGAGCAGCAAACCTCTGCTGTTTGGAGGCTTTTTGATGACAGAGCTACAGGAGATGCTTCAAGGAGAAATCCGACAGCTGATGCTATAATGGAGGTGAGGAGCTACCTTGAGGAGCCCCTCATCCAGAGAGCAGAAGACCCACTGAGCTGGTGGCAGGCCAAGGCCTCAGTCTTTCCACTCCTGGTGAAGGTGATGGAGGGGAGACTATGTATTGTTGCCACATCAGTTCCTTCTGAGAGAATCTTCTCCAAAACAGGGCAGATACTCACGGAGAGGCGAAATCGTATCAGGCCTATCAGCCCATCCAAGCTGAGGCATCTGATCTTCCTGAATGCCAACCTGCCCTGAGGACTAATGCTGTTTGCTGGAGTTTGGTTCTGGTTTTGATTCTGTTCTGTGGATTTGTTTGAAGTTTATTGTTAATTTGTGCAATAAAAAAGTTTAATTGAAATAAACAAATGTAAGAGTGGTTTTGTCACAGAATAAATGCACAGAATTAGGCATTATAAGGTCTCTCATAAAAACACTGAAAGCAAAAGGGTTTTCAACACATAAACCATGATTTTTTTTCAAAGTTAAGGTAAAATATAGGCTACAAAAGATCCTAAATAAAGAGCCGTTCGGGAGTCGAAAGAGCCGGCTCTTCTTTGGGAGCCGAGTCAAAAGAGCCGGCTCTCAGAAAAGAGCCGAACTTCCCATCATTAGTATGGGAGTAAAGTATATTTTCTCAGACTTCTCAGGAACTGGACTGACATAGACGATGATGATAGGTCGGTATCGTTGGCTGCTAATGTGGTACGTTCATATTAGGTTCAATTGGAAGAAGTCAGCAGTTCTGCATCCCAAATGGCACACTATTCCCTATAGTACACAGATACTTATGGGCCCTGGTTTAAAGTAGTGCACTAAATAGGGAAGAGGGTGTAATTTGGGACACAGCCCAGGACAGTGATATTGCTGCTTAGTGGCTGGATACATTCCAACATACATTGTGCTGGTGTCACAGGCTTAATCTAAAACCTGACAGATATGAGTAACCTGAGAGAATATGGGATGACAGATTGACCAATCATATCACATTATTGAGCAAGGATGGATTTTAAAAAAGGATGGATGTAAAAAAAATAACACAAAATGAAGTAACAAAGAAAACGAAGAGAGAGAGAAAGAAAGAAAGAGTGCGACCGTGAAAAGATATAGAGCAGAAGATAAAAGAGGGAGAGAGAGAGGGAACAGGAGAGGACGAAGTTAGTTAAGATTCAGGGCTTCACAGCGGCAGAGGGAGCTATCATTACCATACATCAGGACACTAAATGAGGCTTTCAGCGGGCCGTAATAAGAGTTTGATAAATCATCGGGCTAGAATTAACTAGATGTCAAAACAATGTGAGTAGGCTGATGGATATGGGAGGAGGGGCCAATGGCACAGATAATTCTGGCTGGGGTTGGGCAGGACCGACCAGGGGAGGAGGGGGAGACGGGGGGAGAGGGGTGGGAGGGTAAGGGCTTGACAAGGTCAAGTGAGGTGAGGTGAGAATGGATGGAGTGGGAGCACAAGGACATTAGGGTGTTTTTGGCAGGCAGGCTATAAAGGCGAGAATAGGTTGTAAAGAGAGGAATACAGAGAGGGTTAGTGGAATGAGATCTGAGAGAAATGGAGGAAAGGGAATTTGTTTTGAAGCTCTACATTCCAGACTTCTGTCAGTACTTTGTTATCCAGACACAACCCAGGTCAGATATGAGACTGTCTGCTCCGCAGTGGTTGTGGCACACAGCAGCTGAATGTATGATATAGCACTACACAACCCTGTGATTATTCCATACTTAATGCTGTTACACTGTGTCCAAGTGATTTGTCACAGGACTGATTTGGGATGTGTGTGTGCGTGCCTGCGTGAGTGTGTAAGGGGGGTTGGTTATCACACTTCTGATCATGAGCAGGGTTATCACTGTCGTAGTCATTAGGGCGGTTTGTCACAGCTTGTGCTATTTCCTCTCTCCCTCTCTTTCCTTCTCTCTCTCTCTATCCCTTTCCCTCTCTCTGGCCGACGGGGGAAGCTTTAATTGAGCGTCGCTGACCTTTCCTGACTCACCGTGACAACCCTGTCGACGGCGACGGGAGGTGACGCTGGCCCGATTAGTGGTGACAGCGCCGGGCGGGCGGCGCCCGAGCATGGCTAATTCGGTCCCATCATCCTCAGCACTGGTTTAGAGAAGAGGAGAGTAAAGCAGAGGAGAGGAGAGCAGACCAGGGCATTGCCAGGCTCCAGGGGGAGTCATGTCCACTCTCACTGTCCTCAACTCCTGCCTGCTCGCTCTGACTGTGTGTGTGTGTGGAGGGGGGAGTGTGTGTGTGTGTGTGTGTGTGTGTGTGAAATGGATAATGATGTCTCTCTCTCCCTGCCCTCCCCCGCCTGGTGACATTTCTCTCTGGGCAGCTGAGGGGGACGTGGCCTGGGGCCTGGAGCTGGAGGATGGAGAATGGAGAATGTGTACTCAGGCCTGCAGAGACACTGGGCAGACAGCCCCTAGGCCTGCATGGGCCCTCAGCCTACCCAAAACTGGAACTGTGTACTATCTATCTTTACCATCGTATATCTATAGCTGGTCTTGCACATTGTTTGTTAAGTGTGTTTTATACTGAATCTATCTAGTACAGAGTTTTTCTTCCATGTCTACCCCCATACTTGGTATATACATTATATACATGATATACATTATAGACATTATATACTGTACATTATATACCAAGATGATACATTGAGCACAACAAGGTCAGATCTATCCTGCTCATTCTGTCAGTCAGTCTGTCCATTTGTCAGCCCATCTGTCCGTCCTATTCCGCCATTATTGAGTCAGTCAGTTAGTCTATCCCGAGGCTCCCATCCAAAAGAGTCTCCATTTCAGGCTCCTCAAGTGTGCTTTGCAATTTGACTTTATCTGTCCCAACCTTGCTGCTGGGGGACTAATCCCTGGAAAGCATTGGATAAGACTCCACCATTGACCTACGATACGTCCCAAATGGCACACAATTCCCTATGGGCCCTGATCAAAAGTAGTGCTTTATACATTGAATAGGATGCAACCCTAATATTAGGATTACTTCAGTATGTTGTTTAAGTCTTTAAATGACAAGTGATCATTCTAATGGTCCTCATATGTTCCAGTAATGAAGCCACTCGTCTGAACGAGAGATTTTAATTAAAGGTACTGCATTAATCAAATCAGTTCAAATGTTATTCATCACATGCTTTGTAAACAACAGGTGTGGACTAACAGTGAAATGCTTACTTACTGGTCCTTCCCAACAATGCAGAGAGAAATAAAATAGAGAAGTAATAGAAAGGTAAAACACGTAATAATAAATACACAATGAGTAACGATAACTTGTCTATATACAAAGATACCAGTATCGAGGCGATGTGCAGGGGTACGAGGTCATTGAGGTAGATATGTACATATAACTAGGAATAAAGATATACAGTAAACAGTAGCAACAGTGTATGTCGTGAGTCAAAGAAGTTAGTGCAAAAAGGGTCAATGCAGATAGGTAAATAGATAACCAAATAGCTACCCAGACTAACTATTTAGCAGTCTTATGGCTTGGGGTGGAAGCTGTTCAGGGTCCTGTTGGTTCCAGATTTGGTGCATCGATACCGCTTGCCGTGCGGTAGCAGAGACAACTGTCTATGACATGGGTGGCTGAAGTCTTTGGCAATTTCTAAGGCCTTATCTGACACCGCCTCGAGGTTCTGGATGGCAGGGAGCTCGGTCCCTGTGATGTACTGAGCCATACGCATTACCCTCTGTAGCGCCATGCGGTAGGATGCCAAGCAGTTGCCATACCAAGAGGTGATGCAGCCAAAAGATGTCGTCTTTATTACATCACTCCTCTGACATGCCGTTCCTCAGTACTATGTGTATGAATGTACCTCATGGAATTGAGCTGCTTGCTTGTGTGTGTGTACCTCTCACTCAAGCTAGTGTTTGTGTGAATGTATTTCTCACTGCAGCTGGTGTGTGTGTTTGTGTGTGTGTGTGTGTGGGGGGGGGGAGAGGCTGTGTTCCTCTCTCTGACCCTGCAGTCATTAATCTCACTCCCTTTCTGGGTAACGGACACTGATGGACAGGCCAGTGTTTGCCCACTACGCACACACAAACACCCCTACACACACACACACACACACACACACCTACACACACACACACACACACCGGTGCCTCACTGCTGACAGTTTCAAACCCACACACACACACATACAGTACTCATTCAGTTACTCATTCACAGCGGCTGACAGACTTAAAAGTACTTATTCAATGAATGGTCCTGAACATGCCCTGTGTGTCTGTGTGTGTGGCTACAGGACTTCCATTATGTTAACTGTAGTGAATACAGTCTAGTCCAGCTGCCCAGTCACCTCTTACCCCCTCTGCTGTTCATTCACAGAATATCAATCTCTCTCTCTCTGTTTGTCAGATCATATACTGCCAGAGACCAAACACTAACCCTGAATCTCAGGGAAACGAGCTTACAAAGAAAAAGCAAGATATTTTTTGATAAAACTATACATGGCCATCATATTTCTTATGTTTATCATAGAAAGAATGTAGCCAGATACATTTCCTAGTGTTTTACTTAAAGTTAATCTTGCATTTTACCAGAGAAATGTAGGCTGGCTACACTGAGAAAAGTACCAGAGAAAGTAGCTCCACATCAGTCAGAGCACTGTCTGCTGATAGAATGCCCGTTCATTAATTCTCATCTGAGTTTAGAACTGCACCTGAAGCACAAAATGAGTCTGATGTCTAGCAGAAATTACAATAAGAAGCATTTTAGATCAAAGTTTGCAAAACGCAGCCAGATATTTGTGTTTTATCTTTTTTTCCTGCATGAAAAACTTCTGCGTTAACGTGACCCCTAAGTTTAACTTGCTAGTAAGTAAGTGGCTGAATTAATAAGGTGATGGGGCATCATATTGTGTTAGCTTTCTGCCGTGTTTGATAAGTCAAAGCTCTTTGGATTAGTTATTTGTACAGTTTTTCTCCTCTCCATTCTCGCCCGTCTGCTCGTCCCCCCTCTTCTCTGAGCAGAGCAGGCAGGCCCATTGCCCTAGTGACTCCAGACTCCACACATACACAACGTGTACATATTCTGCTCCAGAGCCAGTACTATTTTTCCTTCAGACAAGCATGCATCAAAACTTTGTTGATTTGCACAATGTCTCTCGTTCACATTCGCTTGTAAATGTCCAAACTCACCAAAAATGGTATTTGGTAGTTCCTACCTATATAAACTCAGTAAAAAAATAAAGGTCCCTTTTTCAGGACCCTGTCTTTCAAAGATAATTAGTAAAAATCCAAATAACTTCACAGATCTTCATTGTAAAGGGTTTAAACACTGTTTCCCATGCTTGTTCAATGAACCATAAACAATTAATGAACATGCACCTGTGGAATGGTCGTTAAGACACTAACAGCTTACAGACGGTAGGCAATTAAGGTCACAGTAACTTAGGACACTAAAGAGGCCTTTCTGCTGACTCTGAAAAACACCAAAAGAAAGATGCCCAGGGTCCCTGCTCATCTGCGTGAACGTGCCTTAGGTATGCTGCAAGGAGGCCAGGGCAATAAACTGCAGATGTGGCCAGGGCAATAAATTGCAATGTCCGTACTATGAGATGCCTAAGACAGCGCTACAGGGAGACAG